TTTTTTTTTTTTTTTGCAACTTTAGTTAGACCAGCTTCTCACTTTCCAACAACTATATTCCTGAAAAGGTAACTGTGTTCTACAAAAATTATATCACATGAATTGTTTGACTTCCTTTGAAGTATCCATGTTGACTGACACAGGAACGGAGATTTCGTGCTAATTCTTCAAAATACACTAAATGGACAAAAAGCTACATAGCATTAACCGGCTCTCACTTACAAGTTACACCTAGGTCAGATATACACCTGTGAACGAGTCCATGTAACATAGACAACGACCAACCTTAATCTAGTCTGTCAAGCATCCCTTATATAGAAATACTTTTTTTTTTTTTTGCTTTAAAACTGCATCTACCCACAATTGCATCGCATTCCACAGTTCTCGCTTGGTTGGGACAAATATTTCTATGTAATATTTGACAAATACGCCTATTTCAAATAGAGAAAACAAGTAACATTAGATAGCTAGCAACAAAGATGTCCTACATCAGTCTTTTGCTACTACCTCATAGGAAGGTCTCAACAAATTGAAGCAAATTTGATAACATGATTGACGGTTTATAAAAAGGAAATACAGAGAGGAACCTACAAACTTGATCTTCCAGACTGGGAACGCCTAGGTGCATCAACTAATAACTTCATTTTATAAGTTGCACTTCTAGAATTTGCTATTTAAGATTGAAGTTTTCAATTCAAATTTTAATTGTTCCCCCATTTACACCTGTATCTTTCAGTAGCTACAAATGAGAGGGATGTACCTCATAGAACAGTTCTGTTTCCTGTTTTGACCACCTTGTGCTGGGTGTTTTGTCCATATAAGTTTGATAATTGAAGTAGGCAGAAGAATCTTGAGCCCGAGAACCTATTTGACGATCATTATCTTCTGCGCCGGCATCTGAAGGATAGGTCTCATCCTCATTATAATTAGAAACAGAAGCACCAGCACTGCACAAGCACAAATCATGGAGAAATTGTAACTTGGAAAAGAGAGGACCTAGTCCCAAAAGGGCAAAAACATGTAACACCTCCAAGTAAGTAAAAAAAAAAAACTATGCCACAACAAACCACTGATTGCAAAACGCATTGAACTTCTAAAATCTCTTTTCCTTATTAAGATACCTCTTTTGAATATATTTAGGTACCCGAGAGTAAATATAATGTACTGTACGGCATAACTTCTCTCATATTAAGTATGACGAAATTATACATTTTAAACCATGGTCAAAGATCACCTAATATACTTACTAAGAACCATATTAGGTTCAAGGAGCATAAATTTATAACACATGTAAACTTCTAAGTGTTTACCAATGGCATCTCTTTTTCATTTTCCTATGACTAGTGAAAACAGTTTTTCACATGACGGCTACCTTCCAGCTTCCTGAACCTAGCACATAACAGCCTCCAAAGGAACCATTAGAAATTGGACAGAGCAATACTAATTGAGAATTGACATCATAACCATTAAATCCTAAGGCCATTTTTAGGAACTTGGAATTAGCGTAATTGATGCCCTAAAGTTAGCTTATAGTTCAGCTTGAGCAAATCACAAGAATATTTCAGGATAAAAGTATCCAACATTTATGTAGGATAGGATAATACTAACTATAGCATATCAGCGTATAAATCAAAGGGCGTCTATTTTGGAGTAATTCCAAATTTTTGGGATTTGAGGAGATATTCTCCCTTGCTAATGCTCACCATCTTGGAGGATAAAATAGGTTTTCTTTTCCATATAAAAGTTCATTGTATAGAGAATAGAGGAATTACCTCCAAAACGAGCATGGAGTAAGAAGATAAGTGACAAGATAAGTGACAGGGAAATGTAAATACCCAGGGTATTTCTCAATTATAAGAAAATGCAAAAAATTTACAAGCTAATACTAAAGGTTAGAGTTCTTGACGCATAAATTTGCCATCTCCTCAAAAGAGAAGGGAAGGAATTTTATTGATCTTTTTTCTTCTATATACGAGTTAGCAAATGGTGCTCTAGACAATATGAGCACTTGCTTCTCTCTTATGAATGCTTATAGGTGCAGAGATAGTACGGAATATTGTCTTGATTGGTCAAGGGAGAAGATTCTTCTACAAAACTAAGGTAGTTGCCCACCAGAGAGAATCTTGCAGCGGATTTTCAAGATATGAGGTTTCTGAGATGAAAAAATGTATGCACATGGAATCCAAGCTTTATCTGGTGGGTGGACTAAGCAGCAGAGGCAGGTTCTCACCAATGACATATCATGCTTTCTTTCTGTGCATAAGATACTTCAGATTTTGAACGTACAGATTGTCAGTTCCATTCCTGTTCAGAAAATTTGGTCATTGTGCCTGTTGATAACTTGATACTGGTGCTTGTGCGGATTCAGAAATTCCTTCTCTCCTTCTGCACTGTACTAATCGAGCCCTTCTAGGCCAATACAGAAGTAGTATCGTTTACAGTAAAATAGTTGTGGAGTTGGGTAGTGAAAGCCTTGTGTTGTGCAAGGAATCTTGAAAGGACTTGTGTTGGGCATGGATTCTTGAAACTCTTGGTAGTTAATTGGTATAGTACAGTGTGCACGGATTTTTGAGGCAGTCGTTTGGGAAGGATCTCTAGATAGCAAGTAGTAGCTTGTTAGGATGCACTTTGCAGGAGGACTGGCCCAATAAATATGCATGCATGCATTTCCTAGAAATTCCCTAATATCTGTTTGCTGAAGTAGGTCTTTAGTGAAAGATTTCCAAATAAGAAGCTACCTAAGCTACATGTTAGTCTCCAAGTATAACCAGATTACTGGATTCATAACAACTGAAAGAGAACTTTACCATACACGCAGCACTACCTTGTTTAAAAGACATTTCACATTGATATCTTAAGAGCATCAACTACTGTAAATTTTCGTTATGTTATACTTGGTAAAAACTCTTAGAGCAATTTGCAAATTTCAGATGAAATTACAAGGAAGTAATCCTCGAAAATAAATCACTTTATTCTGTCATGCTATTACGCATGTGAAAATGCTTTGGTGCAAGTAATAAATATATTCATGTTAATTTTTTCCAATACGCTTCCATTTGCTGATGGAGATATCTGCATTGGATACAATTTTACCACTGTGCTAATTCACCTTCTATGAATCCAGCTACTGTAAGACTTGAACTTGGTATATTTAGTATACCTCTCAGTCTCTGCCGGTTTAAGTGGCAGGCTAGGTACAGAGAGTTTGTACTGCCTTGTTTCAGGCGCAGATTGAACAGAGCTTGTTCTGTCCTTCTTTACTTCTTAAGTAACTATGTAAGCAAATACGACTTGACCATTTCTGGAACAGTATTGATGCTAGCTTTGGGGAAGATGGTTCTCTTCGCTGGTTAATGTAGCTTAGAAAAAAGTGGAAGAGCTGATAAAAGGGCAATAAGGGAGGAGTCTTCACATAATTCTGGAAAACGTGGTTGGACAGGTTGGTTAGAACCGTTATCTAAAAGTAGAGAAAATAATGAAGCTGTAGACGATACAAAAGAGACTTATGGTGCTCTTGACGAGTTAGAAGATGGATCTGAAGTGAGAAAAACAGACCTAATGAATGAAGTCTCTACCACAGATCATCTACCATTTTCACTATCAACAACAATATAAGAAAACCCAATCGAAAGGTTAAATGCAGGTTAGTATCTTTTTCGCAAATAAAACAAAAGATAAGTGTAGATTAGTATATTTAATTGTAAAAAAGCTTCTGATACCTCTGATCTGTAGTAGGTATTTGTGACGCTGCAGCATCTTTTTTCTGCAAGGATGGCAAGAAGGCAAACAAGAGAATCAAGGATGACTGTGTCATATTTAAATTTTTCCTCTTTCTAGGAGGTTGGGGTGCAAACAAGAGAATGCAAGAGGAAACGTACCGCCAGCCGCTCTCTGTGCTCTCCTAATATAATTAGATCCTTAATAGGTACCTTTTGGTAGTCAATCTCATACTCGGGAGCCTCAAGCAAAGCCTTGTTCACTGTAAACAAGGAAGTGCCTGGTCAAGAAAAGATAAATACACTATGCCAAATGTCAGCAACACCCACTAGGCTTACCTTGTCTCCTCTTTTGACGAGTGGAGTGAGAAAACTTCTTAGGTTTCTTGTTGGCTGCCTGGTCTGAAGCTTCAGTGGTCTTTTTACTCTTCCTAACTTGCTTTCTATCCTCGGCAACTGTTCTCTTTGACTTTTTCTGTACTTTTTTCCCTTGTGATTCATTTTCCACCAGAAGATCCTCATCATTACCATTTGTAACAGAATCATTAGGTTGTTCAGGCACATATTCCCCATCATCCGCTACTACTTCAGACTCATCTACTAGTCTATTTGCATTTACGGACTTTCTTCTACTCCTTAATGATCTACCCGCTCCATTCTCTTCAGTAATTGCAGAAAGATCAGATGCAGGCAATTTTTGCTTTTTAGTCTTTGGCCTCTGATGTACCTAAACAGACATAGTTGCAAGTGGGTTAAGAAGAGAAATAAAGGGCTCCACCAGCAAGGCAAACTATTTCAAAAATTGAGAAGTAACTAAAACAGTTTGAAAAACAGTTTATTGATTTACAGGTTCCTCAGGCATCTGACAAGTAGATTCAGGGAGTTCTGCTGGGATGCCAACATCTGAATGCGAAGCTTCGATAACATATTCTTCATGAACATGAAATTCATGAGTAGATTCTGTAATAATATTATTATCAAATCCTCTGGCTGAGAAATCAAGGACATCATCAGCAGGGAATCCATGTTCCTTCACTCTATCCACAAAATCCATTTCAGAATGAACTGAGTGTGAATTTGGCTGACATGAAACTGATTCTACTGCATCTGAATCAGGGATGCTTGTGTCGTATCTCTCTCTGTATACTTGTAGCTTGGACTTGGGTTGAAACCTTCTGGTACTCTGCCCTGAATAAATGTTAGAAATTAAAAATGAGTGCAGCACATGATAAAGTGCAGGTGCAGGAACCTGAAAATTCTCCCATACCAGATGTAGTAGTTACCCCCAGGATATCTGCTGCTTCCAAGGAAGGATAGCTGTCCATCTCCTGCAACCGACAAACTGGAGTATTTGTAAGTACGCAAAGGAATCTAAGTGACAAATGTTTTGCTGCTCAGTAAAAAGTGGGGAAGGGCATGAATTTGACCATCTGACAACTTCCACTAACAGGAACAACACTTCCTTGACAAGTTAATGGATCTTGGCATGCTGCCACTTCATCAGGTTGAAGATTAGAAGTGCTAGGAGCTGAATCATCAACTGAAGAAACTGGAATTGAAAGTTGTTCTTGTCCCTTCTCTGCACCAGCAACATGAACAGCAGATGGATTTGTAGCGGGACTAGAATTTTCTGCATTATTATAAGCAGCACCACAGTTTACTAATTTAATCTTTAATAATTGGCCAATTATCCAAAATAAGGTAACTCCTTTGCAGCATCCGTTATCAAGTTACAAGTTTAAAGGTAATATGCAGGAAAAATTAGTAATAACAGAACAGAAGAAGATAGGCCGTTACCTATGGCGCTTGAGATAGGAAGTAAATCATCAAACGAATCCAAACCTACATATATGCCTGCATACTGAAAATTGAAGAACTTTAATTAGGATATAAAAGGTCCGTTAACATGATCAAAATATGGATAAGAAAATATCACCTCTCCCTCGGATTTCTCAAGACAAGTTTTCGAATCTTCACTGTTATCAGGCACTACCGTACTTGTATCTAGATATGAACCAACTGATGGACACAAAGTTTCTGCAGCAAGAGGATGCTCCAAGGAAGGTTCCGCTAACACAGAGCTTTGTTCATCGTCTGCTTATATTTAACAAAAGACAATCATTCTTGAAGAGGTCTTAAAGTATCAATGAAGAACATTAAAATATAGGCTATTTAGAGCATATTTTATAGTATGATATTTCAAGTGCTAAAACCAACTTTATCTCGAAGGAAAATTCTTAAATTATGCACACAAGCAATTAACGCTTTTATGACCTCAACAATCAATATATGATCAAATTGCGGCAACAAAATGCTCCTGAAAAAGTAATAATAAAAAGAACAACATAAAGGCAAGAAAGCTAACAATTTTGGGGATTTTTTCCATCCTTCTTAAGAGCCTCAATTGAATCAGTTGCTACAGTATCACCAGTGGGTTTTGACGTCAAAGAAACTGTTGAGGCCGCAACAGCTGGACCTTTTTTCACTGGACGAGGCTTTGCCTTGGGTTGAAACTTGCCGCCAGCCTTGACTGCATCAAATAACAACATAAACTTTAAAGAATGAGAATATATTATATCACAAACTAAAAAAAAAATCCTTTTCACTCCACTTACCGGTCTTTGAAGCACCATCAGCCAAAATATCATCTAAAAGGTCCATGGATACACTTTCAACGCTGAAACAGAACAATAACTGATAAGACAAAATATAACCACTAATTAAATAAGTTGGAAAAAAATCTTAAAGAAAGTGATTTGATATGTTGTTTATAATTCAATTTGAGAATTACAACTAAAGCAGTTTCACCTACACCTTAAATGGTCTAGTGGATAAGCTTTTCAAGACAGACAGAACCATACATAGAGGTAAAAAAAACAAGAAAAAGTAAAAGCTCAATAGAAAAAATAAAGGGAAATATCTTCATAATTTATTTAGAACTTTGGTAAAATTCAATAATGACAAATAAAACAAGATAGGCTTCATCTAAACCCAGAATAATAAGATGTTTATTCTAAAACAACAAAAATAAAACTAGAGGAGTTTCATATAAACAATAAATGGTCTGTGAATAGGCTTTTCGATACTGAAACAAACTAGATAATAAGAGGACAAGTAAAATTAATGCTCAACAAGAATCAATTTTTACTAAATCAAAAATGGGTTTCACCGACATCCCATACAAACACAATATTTAGCCTTAAATTTAACATCACAAAATAAGAACTTGAAACATTACTGTTAATCTTCTTGACAGATTGGTTCTTTTCAAAGATAATACTACAGTAATAAATACACAACAACTAATGCATACAATGGGTGTATGAGAGAGAGAGATGAACTTGAAATCGCCTGGCGGATGAGAGGGAATTGTGAAAACTAACACGGCTTTTCTATAATCGGGGGTGGCGACTGGCGCGGGACTTGGTTTTTTTTTTACTAGTAGTAGTACTTTTCTTAGGCATCTATATTTATTAGGGAAAATACCTTAAACCACTCCTAAACTTGCCTCAAATTATGGCAAAATACATAAGTTACCCCCCGAACTATGACCCAAATCCCTGTTACACACTTTCTAGGAACGAATATTACTTTACACACCCACCTTTCTAAAGTGTATCTAATACACACTGCTTTGCCCACGTGGATAGTGCGTGTTTTTCCCAACAAATGGGTCGCGTGAACAGAAAAATTTTGTGTCAGATGTCAATTTTTTTTTAGTTTTTTAAAATTTTAAATTGAGTCATCTTCTTCCTTTTTAAAAATTCTGTCATAGCTACTCCTTGAGCTCCACCACCCGATCTCCTTCTTCTCAAATAGACATACCACGATTTCTTATATCTCTTCTCGTTGTAGAGAAGCTTAACTTGAGCTTTACCCATGGCGAAGTCAAATTTTTAGGAAGCGAGAATTTTTCGAAATTTTTTCCAACCCGTAAAGCTTAGCCCAAGATTTTGCACATTTTTTAATTTTATTAATGGATGATTTTTAAATAGTTCACTTGTGGCGATGGCAGTTAATGGCGGTCGAACTTTTACCGAAGTGAAATGGAAAATGAGTTGGATCTGGGCTCAAAAATTTTGATTCAATTTCAGCGGAAAAGATGGAGTTTTGGGTGTGTTTTCTGGTGATTTTTGTTAATTAATGGTGGCTTTGTTATTAAGTAAAAGGTGGAGAAAGAAGCTATGGTGTTTGATGGTGAGAGAGGAGGAAGACGGTCATGGTAGTTTAGGTGAGGAAGATGAGGGGTATAATTTTAATTTTTTTTTTTTTTATTTTTTTTTTTAAATGACACGTGTCGTTGTTTGATTGGTGCGTGATATTGCACATATTCTGAAAAACTGGTTAAGAAAAAAATGGTGTGTCTTAGATACACTTAGGAAAGGTTGGGTGTGTAAAGTAATATTCGTTCCTGGAAAGTGTGTAACAGGGATTTGGGTCATAGTTCGGGTGGCAACTTATGTATTTTGCCCTCAAATTATTAGTATCCTCCCCCGAATTATGCCCGATCTTCCTCCCCGAATTATGGTGTTTGATGGTGAGAGAGGAGGAAGACGGTCATGGTAGTTTAGGTGAGGAAGATGAGGGGTATAATTTTAATTTATTTTTTTTTTTAAATGACACGTGTCGTTGTTTGATTGGTGCGTGATATTGCACATATTCTGAAAAACTGGTTAAGAAAAAAATGGCGTGTCTTAGATACACTTTGGAAAGGTTGGGTGTGTAAAGTAATATTCGTTCCTGGAAAGTGTGTAACAGGGATTTGGGTCATAGTTCGGGTGGCAACTTATGTATTTTGCCCTCAAATTATTAGTATCCTCCCCCGAATTATGCCCGATCTTCCTCCCCGAATTATGGTGTTTGATGGTGAGAGAGGAGGAAGACGGTCATGGTAGTTTAGGTGAGGAAGATGAGGGGTATAATTTTAATTTATTTTTTTTTTTAAATGACACGTGTCGTTGTTTGATTGGTGCGTGATATTGCACATATTCTGAAAAACTGGTTAAGAAAAAAATGGCGTGTCTTAGATACACTTTGGAAAGGTTGGGTGTGTAAAGTAATATTCGTTCCTGGAAAGTGTGTAACAGGGATTTGGGTCATAGTTCGGGTGGCAACTTATGTATTTTGCCCTCAAATTATTAGTATCCTCCCCGAATTATGCCCGATCTTAATTACCACCCTCAACTTGGCATTTTGAGAGCCATTACCCCCTAGACGCTGATGTGGCAAAAAGTGTGGGTGCACTCACCCACGTGGATTTTTCTATCTATGTGGCGTTTTTTTGAAAAATAAAATATTATTTTACCTTTTTAAGAATATTACTTTTTAGATAATTTTTTTCAAATACAATTGATAATAAAACTTTGATAGAACTATATTATTTAGGCTAAATATTTTTATTTGGCCAAAAATTATAAAGTTTTAGTTAATCTTTTTTTTTGAATTTGACCTGAAAATAAAGATTTATACAATTGAAATAAATAGTCAAGGCATCTAAAAAGTTATAAAAAATATATAGTTTGAAATCTTTATGTATTTTTTATAACTTTTTAGATGTCTTGACTATTTATTTCAATTGTTTAAATCTTTATTTTCAGGTCAAATTCAAAAAAAAGATTAATTAAAACTTTATTTTTTTGGCCAAATAAAAATATAGCCTAAATAATGTACTTATATCCAAGTTTTATTATAAATTTTATTCGAAAAAAATTATCTAAAAAAGTAATATTCTTAAAAAGGTAAAAAAATATTTTATTTTTAAAAAAAATGCCACATAGACAGAAAATCCACGTGGCAAGCGAGTGCACCCATATTTTTTGCCAAATCAGCATCCAGGGGGTAATGGCCCTCAAAAGGCCAAGTTGAAGGGGTAATTAAGACTGGGCATAGTTCGGGAAGGATACTAATAATTTGAACCAAGTTTAGGAGTGGTTTAAGGTATTTTGCCTAATAAATATAGATGCCTAAGAAAAGTACTACTACTAGTAAAAGAAAAAAGAAAAAAAAACAAGTCCCGCGCCCGTCGCCACCCCCTCCCCCGATAATAAAAAAGCCGCGTTAGTTTTCACAATTCCCTCTCATCTGCCAGGCGATTTCAAGTTCATCTCTCTCACACACACACCCATTGTATGCATTAGTTGTTGTGTATTTATTACTGTGGTATTATCTTTGAAAAGAACCAATATGTCAAGAAGATTAACAGTAATGTTTCAAGTTCTTATCTCGTGATGTTAAATTTAAGGCTAAATATTGTGTTTGTATGGAATGTCAGTGAAACCCACTTTTTATTTAGTAAAAGTTGATTCTTGTTGAGCATTAATTTTACTTTTCCTCTTATTATCTAGTTTGTTTCAGTGTCGAAAAGCCTATTCACCGACCATTTATTGTTTATATGAAACTCCTCTAGTTTTATTTTTGTTGGTTTAGAATAAACATCTTATTATTCTGGGTTTAGATGAAGTCTATCTAGTTTTATTTGTCATTATTGAATTTTACCAAAGTTCTGAATTAATTATGAAGATATTTCCCTTTATTTTTTCTATTGAGCTTTTACTTTTTGTTGTTTTTTTAGCTCAGTTCTAAATTAATTATGAAGATATTTCCCTTTATTTTTTCTATTGAGCTTTTACTTTTTGTTGTTTTTTTACCTCTTTGAAATTGCTTTAGTTGTAATTCTCAAATTAAATTATAAACAAAATATCAAATCACTTTCTTTAAGATTTTTTTCCAACTTATTTAGTTAGTGGCCACATTTTGTCTTATCAGTTATTGTTCTATTTCAGTGTTGAAAGTGTATACATGGACCTTTTAGATGATGTTTTGGTTGATGGTGCTTCGAAGACCGGTAAGTGGAGTGAAAAGGATTTTTTAAAAGTTTGTGATATAATATATTCTCATTCTTTCAAGTTTATATTGTTATTTGATGCAGTCAAGGCTGGTGGCAAGTTTTTGTCACGTCCCAAACTACCGCCTAGACGTGACTGGCACCCAGTTAACCCCACCTGCCAGGCGAACAAACCATTTACACAAACACTAAGAGAGAAAAAAAATGCAGGCCTAATAGTATTATTAATAATTAAAAGGAAATGATTATCGCTCAATACCTTAGTCAATTGATAGAAAACCAACAACCACTCAAATACTAAAACTCTAGCCCAAAACCCATACCAAGACCATGGAGCATCTAACAGAGTAACATGAGTTTTATTGACGAGTATGCAAATCCCAAAGAAAAAAATAAATAACTAACACGAGCTAGGTATGTCTGAAACGAAAGCCTTCACAAACAATGCGGTGGCTCACCTGAACAATAGGATCCACTCGAACCAACTCGTCAGCCACTAGATCTATCTCCCGCGATGGTATCTGCATAGAGATGTAGGTAAGGAGTGAGTTATACGTAAATATAACCCAATAAGATCCTCGACCCGCCACTTTAAATACCTCTGGAACAAGCGTTAGAAAATACAAACACACCACAATACGAATGATATAGTAAATATGATAATTATATAATAACTCAATATATGTGTATCAATAGAGTTATTAAAAATTAACCAACAAGAGTACCCACTAAGGACTTATCATAATTGCAGTGAAAGAAATTTACCAACACACCTACGAGTCCACAACGGCACCACAATGCCTCAAATATGTAACAGAGCATACACAAATGCTCACTGAAGCATACACAATGCCCCAAATATATCAAGAAGCATACACAATGCTGGGGTGATGTACAAAGGCATACACAATACATCATGGCGCACAGCCGTATCAAACTCAACATCATGGTGCACAGCCGTTTCAAACTCAACATCATGGCGCACAGCCGTTTCAAACTCAACACCATGGCTCACAGCCGAATCAAACTATCAAACTCAACATCATGGCACACAGCCGTATCAAACTATCAAACAACTTATAAAAAAAGATTTTTTTTTTTTGTATTTTTCATAAAATAATATATTTGCGGCTAGTCTCAGACCACCGATTATGCCAAGGGCACGCTTGTCCCAACACATGGACCAGGCAGAGAAAACACACTTTCAAAACGGGTTTTAGAAAAGTAAGTATCAAAACGTAAAGTTTCACTTACCTCGCTTACGACAAGTCCCCCGGCTTTGCAACGTCTAAAACATCAACGAAACGGCTTCCAATGATCTCAATCTAAATAAAATATTGATTAATAATTACAATTACACTAGCCGGTCAACTCTCAATATCCCAAACTTTCAAGAGTAGAGTTGAATCTTAATATTCCACCTATCAAATATCATAGTTTTTTTAAAAAGGTAAAGAATCTCAATATCTCAATTTAACTCTGTATTTACATACAAGCCTAAATATATCAAAAGTTTTGTCATAAATGAGTGATCATACGGTATGCAGAAGATTAGAGAACTGACACTGTGTATAGATGCTTCGAATAGTTTCGAAAGATTTCATATTTACGTTGTTGATTTCTCACTTGAAATTCAACTCTTAGTTTTAATCCAAATTTACTCATCATGGATTAAATCATTACTTCTCCTAATTAAAAGTAACAAACGAAAACTGTAGCAGCAAAAATTGATTTTTCCTTAGCAAATTACGTAACTTTTCTCATTCTTGAAATCCTTACGTCTAATTAAGTTTTCAATCATTGACGGATAATTTTGCCTTAAATTATTAGTCTAATCACTACAAATTTATAAGTAACAATAACTATTTTTCTACAAATAATACAATATATACCGCTACAAGAAAAATACCTTATTGTTTAACTCTTCCTTCCCACTAACGAACTGAGCAAGCCATTCCAACCAAATAGTAGCCAATCTTCTATCGTTTTCTGTCGTCAGTTTCGCAATCCACATAGCCCCCTATGTTCGTTGTTCTGGTTCTTTCTAATAAATAAAACCCTTTAGCACCTTTTTCCCAATGTGAGATTTAAAGGTGGAGCTAGGCCCACTGGCTTTAAGATTAATTAATTTACTTGCAATCCTATATAGTATAAAATTTTGGTCCATTATCCATTTATTATATAATAGCTTAATATGTAGCCCAATAACTACAAACTAAACTAATTCTCCAATTTCAAAGTGTAATTGTGGTTATTACAGTTTCAACCCAAATGAGAGTTGCTCGAGACAAATTAGAAAAATAAAGATTGAAGAATGAAGAAAGTGAAAGACTTTTGGGTTCTCACAGGCGGAGTCGTTCGTTCTTACTTAGGTTTCTCACTATCTCAGTCGTTCTTACTTCTTAGTTGTTAGGTTTCTCAGATGTTACGACTTCCGGTAAGAATTAAGAAAGTGAAAGACGTTTGGGTTATTGGGTTGGGCTCCAAAAATTAAAATAGGAAGTTTTACATAGCTATAATATATTAGAAACTTATTAATCATTTTTCTTTAGGTTCCTTAAGAATTACATTGTGTATCTATATTTACTATTTATGTACAAAATATAATAAAAGACGGATCCCTTAAATATAGGAATTAATTTGTAACGTATCTCTCATCCCCATCTATCAGCTTTAGCCTCCTAAAATCACGATTTTCTTCCTAATTTAAAAAAAAATTAAAGTCATCTCTTTTTCATACAAATCCACCAATATCTCTCTCATGCAAATCAAACTATTATCTCTCTAAAATTGTAGCGTCATATATTTCTCTGAATCAATTCCACCAACAACCATTAAAAAGCTTCAACTATTGACAAATCCATCGGAATTATCTCCGAAATTGCAGGTAGAGAGGTCTGCCATTGACATACCATTAAAAAGGTTCGAAACTTTGAATTAGATATTCGGATTTTATGAATTTGTGATTTCTTTGGATTGAGTGTTCTTGAAAACGATTGAAAATATCCTTTAGAGTTTATATCTTAATTTGAATGGAGATTGTGTAAGTTTAAAGTTGATTTTAGGTTAAATTTCAGATTGAAACTCGAGGAAGAAGTTTCGGAATTGTATTACGATTGTATGATAAATGTATCATAATTGTATCTGAGTTGTATTTGATACATCAATACCTAAGACAATTCTGATACAATACTAATACAAGTATAATATGATATTGTATCAATTTAAGTTTAGAGTCGATTTTAAGTTGTATCAGAATTGTGTAAGAATTTTTTCAGGATTATATTAAATTTGTGTCTTAATTATGAGCAGTTGTGAGTTCGTGACGAATTTCACAGTTTGTATAACAAATATATGATAGTTATGTGTTAATTTATTAGTACTGTATCAGGTACTATTTTGGATATTAAGGTACCATCTACAAGTTAGATACAATTGTGATACAATTATTTTTTACGTATTGATGTATCTAATACAATTTAAATACAATTATGATACAATTATCATACAATTGCTGAATATTTCTTCATTTTTAGTGTTATCTGGTCTCCCAGCAGAAGAATGATACAATTGATGATCTAATAATTTAAAGCTATCGGCAATGGTAGGAAGAGAGAAGATGGAGATTCTGAGAGTAGATGAAGGGATTTGGTTGTAAAAAAGAAGGAGAGAGAAGAGGAGAGGGGAAAAAAGGAAAGGATATAATTGGATCCTTTAATTGAAGACACTAATAACGAGGTGAGAGCCTTTTAAGGAACAATCTACACAATTTGTAAGAAAAACCTAGATACTTATTAAAAACTACAAAACATAGAAAACATTGGTAAATAAGTTTTTAATAGAGTGTAGCTAGGTAAAAATCTCATTAAAAATTTAGCTTTTGGGTCAGCACTTGGGCTGGGAGCTGGGCAGTCTACACTCCTAGTCTCCTATATGATATTTAAATTTTCGGTATTTCAGTATACCGAATTGTCAAGATCCTAATACCGAGGACCGAGCCGTTATACCGAAATACTAAAAAGTTAGTACCGAATTGAACCGAAATATCGAAAAAATCGAAACCGAAATACCGAATTAATTCAGTCCAGTTCGGAATTCGATTTTTCGGATTTTATGCTCACCCCTAATACTAATAATCTGAGCCAATTTTAGAGGTGAATTTAAGATATTTTGCCTATTTATTAACCAAAAAGACAGGAAAATATAATGCATTAGCCCATAGGAGAGAGAAATAGGGCAGGAAATCGTACCAACTTCTCCCTTCTTCTTTATATATTTCTTTCTTGAAGTGTAATAATTATTTGTTCTAATTGTGTATTTCTACTCATCAGGTATAATTTTGTTATGAGATTTGAATTTGATTATTTAGAAGGGTGATTACAAATTATCAATCAGAAATTTGTTTCCTTTAGTTGGGAAAAGTGTGTGATAGTTGAAAAAGTGTTGTTTTTTTCAATGATAAATAATTACGAAGTAATGCTGTTATAAAAGAAAAAGAGAAAGATATTTTAATTTAAAGTTAATCAAATACGATAGGCCAATTACTACTTTAATAAATAAAAGATAATTTGAATCAACAAATCATGGAGTAGTTATTTTAATACAGCCTAATAATTAAAAAGTTTTGATGGAATGGTATCCATCCTTAACCAGATATCTTGATTTTGAGCCATAAGAATAGTATCATTTTTGGTGAATGGAGTTTAACGCCAAAGTAGGACTTCTCGGTGCAAATAAAATATGGTCTAACATAAAGAGAAGTCTTGTAGATATTGTATAACCAAAGGCTGAATCAGGATTTCAAGCTTATGAGTTTATAATTCTAATCATTTTAAGTCACTTGGTTTTAAATTAATAATTTGTACATATTTGATAATTTTTTAAGATAAATATATAGTTTGGACCAAAGCTAATAGGTTCGGCCGAACCGGTCTTGGACACTCTGGCTCCGCCCCTGTGTATAACTTATTCCTTTTGTCTAAGTTAAATAAATTTATTAATGTGAACAAATTCGAGTATACAAGGAATATACTTTTTCATTTTTGTGCTTTTTTTGTTTATTTATTTATTTTGCTATGTATGCTTTTATGCCACATGGACAGTAAAGATTCCTATATACAATCAACTTGCTAGGTACTGAGGCATTGTCAATATAGTAGTAATATTTGTTTTTGTATACCCATTCATCCACAAAATGTGCCTTGTTAAACCTTCATGAAATTAGCGATGGGTTTATATTTTATGCATCACATTAAGAAAAGATACAAAATTTAGCTTCTAAGACCTCAAAAAAATGTATTCTCTTGTATTTGAGGGATTAGAAGGAAAGAACAAATTTTGAGACTCATACACACGAAAAAGGCAATTTACCTAATTCCGAGAATGTAATAGAACTCTTCTATTGCATTCTATGTGGAAATACCATCAGAACTTGCATAAATTTCTCACAGCTAATAAATAATTATGATATTTTACACTATTGTAGAAAATACCAGAATTACTGAAATAAATCATCTATTCCACTACCATTCTTGCAGTGAAATCCACGAATCAAAAAGTAAATCCAGTAATAAATTAACACCATTAACATGCCAAATGCAGCAAGAAAATATCAGATAGTTGATTGCAGTGGCAAGAATCTAACCGTCTGACAGTGTCAAATACAGATTTAAACGTTATGAATTATTTTTCCTACATTTATACAGGTTTCCACCTCGAAACAAATTGTCTTCCGATAAATTCACGAAAAAGTGGTTGGAACTTTGTTCCTTTAGAAAATCGAGCATGCACGAGGAACTTTGTTCAAGTTATTTACTCTATTTTAAAGAAGATTTTCCAAGATGATATTACACAAATGAATTGAAAAAGGTAATTAGCTGTCTTGAAAGCCAAATGCAGTACAGATTATATATCCCAGCTAAACCACTCTGCCATACGTGTGCTCCATTTCAAATTCCTTTCCAACTCATGTAAATATGAATGCTCTTGTCAATATGTTTTTTTCCACAAAGAATACAACATCTAAACCATCCTATGAATCCAGACGAAAGAATTAAAACTTCTTTAAAGTTAGAACATTTTCCTACAGTTGCACGAGCACCCAGCCAACCAGAGCAAAATCACCAGGTCTAGAAAGCCATGCGCCCTGCAAGTCTGCTTTCTGATATTCTTCTGTCTATTGCCGCATCTATTGAAATCATCTGAAAGTAGGAACCACAGACAGGAAATTTTAGGATAGAAACTCAAAGGTTAAGCACAATGTATGAGTAAAAAACATAGCCTGCTTTTTCTGAATTTGTAAAAGAATCTGACCTGGGCCAAATTTGAACCACTGTTCGACCATAAATATCATAAACAAAGTAATTTGCAAATATCTGTAGAGTCTATGCTTGCTCACCCAAACCCAACTCATTTTAAGGTCAAAGTAAAGCTCAAGGAGAACATGTAACTACAGCAGAAAAGGAAATTTCCAAGAACTAATACATACACGTTGTTCTTATTCTTGTGTGATGCTAGTTGGACATTCCTTGAGTGGGTGGCAGTATAGTAGTCAGAAATGTCATTACTTTAACTACCAGCAAAAGATGATGAAGATACATACTTGAATCTTTGATGACCATAAAACTGTTGGGATTGCTTGCCAACCGGAGAATGGCCAAAAGAAGATAAAGAAGCCCATCAATTAATGGGGTTGAAACATACAGTATAATTGATGGATTATCAGATACTCATGCAAGAGTACTAGCTATTCTCAACAAGATGAAGGAGAAAAGAAAGACTTACAAATTTGCTTTACGAATATGAAAGAATAGTAAACAACTGAATCTGAGAAATGAAACTAACACCAACCATTGGACATATGTATAACTCAAGGCCATATCCATAGCCATAGGAAGGAATACTAGTATTAGGTAATTATAACTTACCTGGCTAGTCTCATCATCACCTGATACTTTGGTAAGGACATTCTTCTTTCCTCCTGCAAATATTTCACATCAACACTTAGTATGACAAATTAACTGTAAGATATTAACTATGGACATGGCCTCATCATCCCAAACTAAATAGACCTCATTTGTTGC